GGGCGCGGGTGCATCTGAATACTCGGTGCTCGTGGGTGTTCCAATCAGGCTCCATAACATGACAATATCTCACTTGGAGACTGATTGCATTGAGTCCAGTCCTCTATACCTGCAACTCCATCTGAATTGCCTTTATAGTAACTTATCGTGTTCACGTACCGTGGTGTGGCTCATTTCTATTCTCAACTTTCATGAAGCCCAACTGAAGCCAAGTATAGGTTCAATTTCTTGTCATTGCCTTCATCAACATATCTGCAGGATTCTCAGCTATGTCTGTGTGCTTATGTTTATCTTCTCCTGAAATAACTTTTCATCCTTTAGAAAAGAACAAATTAAATATTACCTCAGCTGAATATATTTCGTCCTGGCTTGAAAAGTAGCATTTTTAGCAAGATGAATCACACTTATACTATTACTATAGAGTTTTCCAATCCCTTATTGATTGCCCAATTCTGCCATGAAACTCTGTAGCTAAATCATCTCATTGTGAACCTCAGTGATAATAATATATTTAGTCTCCGTAGTTGAAAGTGCAATGATCTTTTGTAACATGGAAACCGAACTCATTGTTGTGTTTTCCAATGTAATGATATACCCTATTGTACTTCTCATACTATCCACATCTCTCGACAGATCTGAATCTACAATTCCTTGTAGATTGAACGCGCACTTCCATAACAGTGTCCTGTTGACTGCTCCTCTCAAATATCTAAGAATCCACTTTATCGTCTTTCAATGATGCCTGCCTGGATTGCGTATGTACCTGCTAACCACTCGACTGTATATGCAATATCTGGACTGATGCAAATAATCACATACATCAAACTTCCAACTGTTGAAGCATATAGAGCTCTCTCCATCTTTGCTCGCTTTGCATCAGAGTTGGGTGATAATTCTTTAGTTTGAAGTGACTACCTAAGGGAGTGCTAATTGTTTTTGCCTCCCTCTGAGGATCTTCTCAACATACTTTGCCTAAGATAACTTCAGTATTGCTGCATATCTGTCCTTGTCGATTCTCATCCTGAGGATCTTCCTGGTTAGACCTAAATTCTTCATCTTGAACTCACTTGATAATTGTTTCTTTAAGTTTTCGATTTTTTCCATATTTGTCATTGCAATCAACATGTCATCCATATACAAGAGAAGCAAGATATACAATTACCAAAGTGTTTGATGAAGCAACAGTGCTTTTTCTGGCACTTCAAATACCCACTGTTGGACATGAACTTGTCAAACCTCCTGTACCACTGTCTCGGGGTCTGTTTCAAGCCATAAATGCTCTTCTTCCATTTGCAAACAAAATCATTTTTTCCTGGAACCTTGTAACCTTGTGGTTGCACCATGTATAACTCCTTCAGATCTCTATGTAAGAAATTTGTTTTTATATCTATCTGCTCTAGATATAGATCTTCTGCTACTAGACTCAGTACAACCCTGACAGTCGTCATTTTTATCTCCTGGGAAAAGATCTCTGTATAGTCTACTCCTTTCTACTGGAAACTCTTCACAACAAGCCTTGCCTTGTAGCGCTTATTGCCATTTGATTTTTTCTTCAGTCTGTAGACCTATTTGTTGTGTGGTGCTCTTTTGCCTTCTGATAGAACTGTCAAATCTCAAGTCTGATTAGACTCCAAAGATTGCATTTCTTCATCCATGACAAGCTCACACTCCCTTCAGTTTTCAACTTAAGTGGTCTCCTCAAAAAATACTCGTGTTCACCATTATTAGTTAGTAATAAAGTGTAAAGAAGGAGAATATCTGTGTACGTGTTGTATTACTCTGCTGAATCTCCCGACTTCAGTAACAGGTGACTGAGGTACTTCCAGTGCTTTTTATGTTTGAGCACTACTTTCTCCACTCTCTTGATCACCAGTGTCATCTATCTCAACATATCTGGATTATTCAGAAGTAGCTAATGGGCTATCCTGAGTTCTGGTCATGTCCTTGCACATCTCCCTTTTATTGAAAGTGACCCCACTCCTAATGAATTTCTTATTCTAGTTATCTCAAAACTTGTACCCAAACTCATCTAAACCATATCCATTGAAGGTGCATTTGACAGATTTTTGAGTCAGCTGCATTTACTATCAAGTGCACCTTCATGGATATGGTTTAGAAGTAGCTAAGTACTGACTAGGGATAACACCAGAGTGTCATTTTGGATTTCACTAGTGGAGACATTTGTATATAAACTCCTTTCCCGTCTCCATCACCAGCTTTCTTGTAGCTTTGCAGTCCTTTTTGAAATGCCCTTTCTTACTGCAGTTCCAACATTCTCCTCTGCTATTTCTACTGCCTGATCTGGATTTTCCCTTCCCAGACTTGGCTCTGCCTTTATCTGTATTCTTGTCTAGAGTTATTTCTCTATTATCAGCATTCAACGCAGAACCTGAAAATTCTTCATTTGCTATTTTTTTGCGAACTTCTTCATTTAGCATCAGACCTACGATATCATTGAAGTTCAACTTTGAAGTCATTGAAGAATTACTCACCGTCGTTATCAAACTATTCTAGCTGTCTGACAATGAAGATACTATCACCAGTGCTCTAACCTCATCATCAAACTTGATCCCCACAGAGCACAACTGACTCGTCACAGTGTTGAAGCTATTGAGATGCTCTGCCACTAAACTGTCTTCCACTAGAAGTTATTGAGATGCTCTGCCACTAAACTGTCTTCCACTATTTTTATGCTGAATAAGTTCATTAGAAAAACCTTATTGGAAGCAGAAGGTTTTTCGTACATCTTGGCTAGTGCCGCCATGAGATCCACATAGTTTTCTTAGTTACAATGTTGAATGCAACAAATGAGAAAAGTGATAACTTGATCAAACCTAGTATCGTTTGATCCAACACTTTTTATTTCTCCATATGCATAGATTCGGGCTTCTTTGTAATTCCTAGTAGTGGCATGTATAACTTTGTCTGATATAACAAATCCTTCACCTGCATCTTCCCAGAATATAAAGTTAATCCCACTTAACTTCTCCACTTTGACCCTTACTTCTTAGGCCATTGCTCACACTTGAATCGAACTCCCGCTTTGATACCGGGTTGATAAGAATATAGATAACAATTCCAAACTTAATCGAGGCTTAGGATCAATTAGAAACTAAACCATATTGCCGAATAACATGATCACAAAAATTCAAGATAAGTTGAAACAAAATCTAAATGGAACCCCAATCAAAGCAAAACCAGAAAGTGAACACAAGATTTTTAGTGGAAAACCTCAAGAATGAGAAAAAATCACGGAGTCAAACTATAAGAAAAATTCTACTATGAAATCAAAGTATTTTACAGAGAACTCATACTAATTTTCTCTTTACACACAAGGAAACTTACAACACTCGCTGCAAAATCTTTATTCTGTTAATCCAACACAAGAATCATGTTGAATTATTGAAATCCATTTCTTTGAGTCTTCTCAACTTCACCGGGAGGAACACAAATCAAATAACCTAAAGGAAGAAAAATACTCCAGAGTGCCCTTAACGCCACTCAAAATCGGGAATTTTACGAAAAAATCCTTTGTTAACTGCTTTGGGCTCATAGGCGCCCGGACTTGGCGATTGAGTGCCAAGCGCTCTGAAAGTGGGCGCCTCGACGCTTGAAGTGGGCCCCTAAGTGCCCACTTTTGGCGCTTAAGCGCCCATAAGGGGGCACAACTGTCTGAGAGAAAGCCAGTGCCAGTTGTGGGCGCATGTGCACCCGAATAGTTGCTGCTCTTGGGTGTTCCAATCAGGCTCCACAACATAACATAAATTGGGGATGCTAATTTGTGAGTAAGTGACCTTGTTCATTAAGATAGATTAAGGATTTTGTTAACTTTAATTAAGCTTTTATTTTTAAATTTTTATACCTCCAAATATATCCATAATCTATATATACATTTATATATTAATTGGATTGATTCACATTGTATTATTTATAAAAATAAATTGGCTGCGTTTCGGGAGGTGTGAAAAATTAGGTATATTTCAAAATGATTAAAATTTTATCTAAATTTTTACAATTGTCCCTTAGAAGGGTGATTTTATAGAGGTGACAGTAAAGGGTAGTTTAGTGCTTATGTGGGGGCTTTTATGAAGGAGACGGTAAAGGGTAGTATAGTACTTATGTGGGGGTAGATGGTAATGGTGGAGTTATATCATCATTAAGATTCATGATGGATGAAAACATTCTTGGGTGAAGGCTGTTTGGATCTTCTGGCTATTCTAAGAACTGAGACACATCATCGTTTAGATCTTTGCCCGACCGTTTAGCCTCGGTGTTTAAGATCTGTATCGTGGAAGATTTTGATCAGGTCGTAGGCTGCATTTGGTTGTGTGATATGAATTTTGTTGTTGGATCTTGGCTGCCACCTCCGAACCTGTCTTTAGTTTTGCGGATAGAGGATTGTCTTTAATGCAATTCAATTATCAAAATTTGAAGTACGGACGTTCACCCTACCCTCACTTCATGGAGTTTATGAAAGCAGGAATTTTGGAGTTATGGTTGAATGACCCTTATTAATGGGGAATCTGTAATTCTATAGTGACATTTCAATTATATTCTTAATCAAATTTCTAATGTATTGTGATAAAAATGTCTGTCGTAGTTTTGCTTTGGAAACATAAAATTGTTAAATCAGCTTATTTTTTGTATGGCCTAACTTCACTTTGTCATAAATGCGGGCAAAGAGGATGGACTTTTATATCAGATAATTACTTTATAAAGTGATGCTTATCTTTGTGAGTTTAATAAGCATCATAGGATCAATTCAGCTGTCTTCTGCCTTTCCCTTGTTAATTAAAATATCTTACTGCTATTCTTCTGATTATCTATGGAGGAAAAACTGTTTTGTTAAATTTTTATGCAGAACATATGCTAAAATAACGACTCCATACCTGTTGATTTCTTTTAATTTTTTAAAAATCCCAAGTTTAGTAGTAATACCTCTAGTTTTTGTTCTTTGTCGGGTTCTGCCTCTCTAATGTCTTCCACAACTTTGCTTGCAGAAAACTTTCTTTCTGTTGACGTTTGTTCTGAAGCTAAGGAAACTTGTTATAACTGGTTTTGCAAGATTGGCTCAATCCGCGAGCTTCTCCCACGCATGTGAACATCTCGTACTTTTCACTCATTTAGGTTTCTTTTTTAAACATCTCTTAACTCCAATTTCTTATTTGGTTCTAGTAATATTGTTTTATTTATTGCTTTCTCTGAATAATTTTCATTGCCATAATCTTAAATCTAAGCTTTTATTGATTGCTGGATGCTAAATGTGGCACGGATCACAATTTTTACTTGCCTGTATGATCAGTTTTCTCAACGATACTAATGTATGCTAATCTACTTTAGGTGGTAAGAAAATATTAAAGCTAGCACTAATCACATTTTGATTGACAGCACTGAAAATCTTGAATACCAAATTTTGGCCAATTAGGTGAAATTGTGATGATTCTAAAATTTACCTAATTTTCTGCATTCCTCAAAATGCATACAAATTATTTTTATTAAATTCTAATTTTTGTAATGATTAAAATGATATATAATACTGTAGATAAATTACTAATATAAATATATAATTGGTTTTATAAGAATAATAAATAATTTAATTAAATAAATCTTAATGCCCTAATTATTATAATAGCCTTGGATGCATGTTAAATTACCCTTAATCCCAACTCTGTAGCACCACTACGGTGAGGAGCATTACATGCAGCCATTGGATGCATATTAAGGGTAGCGATTAATAAGGTATTAATTATATGTCTACCTTATTCTCTATTTCACTCTCCTGATTCCCTTCTTCTATAAGTTGTACTCACTGGGATACTGTAGCCTAGCGAGACTGACGCGAAACAGGAGGCAAGGTCGGGTAAGTCAATTTCATAGGAAACAGAGAATAAAAAGGGAAAAATAAGAAGGAAAAAGAAAGGAGGAAAAGGAAGAAGAATTTGAGGAGAAATTAGTAGTTGAGGTAAGCAATTTATTGTAACAATATATATGTATAATTTCATTTCTTACCTAATTAATTAGTGATTCCCTCTTTGTTTTATTAGGAATAGCAGTTAATCAATTGAGAGAGGTGGTTGCTCTCGAATAGGCTGTTAAGAAAACAAGGATATATTCATCTGACACAAAATGGCTTTACTCAAATATTCACTCCTTTACTCCATGGAAGTGGCATGTTTTTATCTGGCATAAACTTATTACTCCATCAATATCCTTTTTTTCTTTGGAGATACTTTCATAAGTTGCTACCTCTTAATGATATACTCAAGTTGAAAGGGCTGAAGCTTGCATCTTATTGTTATATTTGTAAAAAAGGTTCTGAATCACTGAATCATCTATTTTTTTAGTGTCATTTTGTTAAAGAAGTCTGACATCGTATTAGTGCTTTTTTGGGATACACTGGCTTGCTAATCTAAACTTTAAAACTGTTATGGAGATTTGGAAGGGTTTGGAACCCTCTTTTACCAAGTTTTTCTGTTTACCGATAATTGTTTTATGGCTCATGTGGATGACAAGAAACAATCATAAATATGAAGCGACTGGATACACCTCCTCTACCACTTACATCTTAGCGATTGCTTATTTCAATAAGGCATGGAAGTCCTCTAGATATGATGTTACTACTACTGTAGCTAAGGGTAGGAAACCCATTTTGATTAAATGGGCACCACCCCCTCATGGTTGGTTTAAAATTAATGTCGATGGGAGCTTTTCTAATGCCTATACGGGTATGGGTGGAATTATAAGAGATGTGCATGGAAGATGTATAGCTTATTTTGCCTCCCCTTGTATTGTATTGCTACCTCCTCTACCTCCTCTCTTGAGGCTGAGACTTCTGCTGTGCTTGCTGCGCTTCATGTGGTTATCGCTTTACAATTAAATGACATTGTTTTGGAAACTGACTCTGAATCCCTGCTTAATATTCTTTTTGGCAAAAGTTAAACCTCCTTGGTATATTAATGTCTTGCTGAAAAGAATAAGGATCATAATTGATAGCCATCATTTAACTATTTCTTTTTCTTTCATTTATAGAGAAGGGAACCAATGTGTTGATTGGTTGGCCAAATGGAGGGTGCAAAATGCTATTGTTGGAAATAGCCCTCCCTCTTTCTTGCATAAATTTATCAAAAATGATCTGGAGGCCCCATATGTTCGCTATTGAGATGTTGCCCCCTATCTTGGTTTTCTGGTTGAATGCCCTTTGATTGTCACATAGTTGTTGGACTTGGGTGTCTTGGATGCTGGTTACACATAATCGGTGGAGTCAACTGGAAATTAGCTTTCTATATTTTAAATTTGCTCAATTCCTTTTTAGTTTTGGGGTTCGTTATGCATGTACATTTTGGGTTTACTCTTTTTGCTGGTATACATTTTGGGTTATCACATGTATTTTTTTGTTTTATTTTGTGTGGTGTTGTAATGTAGAATGTGGAACCCCTAGGTCTTCATGTTTGTTTTGTTTCTAGATGGGGATCCACTATCCCACCCCAAATTTTATAATTTTTTTATGATTAACGCGTAAGGAGCCACGAGATGCTCTTTTAATTAT